ATATTCAATTTCCCCTCTAACCCTGATGCAGCTTTGTAGGGCAGGATGTCACCCCGCTCAGTATTGACCCATCCAGCTATAGCCCCGCTCTCTCGCCAACACAGAATGATTCTGTCAAAAGATGTTTGACACCCGGTCTATATGTATCCCTCTGTGGTATACCAACACCCTGAAAGACTCAGCAGTACTGAGCTTTATCACAGTCATTATTTATTTATCACCTTTTCATCTTTTATTTTTTTTGCATTTGGGGGGCCATGTGGCAGTGCATGTTGTGGCCAAAGGGTTTCCTCTCTCTGGCATTGGGAAGAGGGACTTAGCCTGATTATTAGCATGACAGAGTACCCAGACTGAGATTTGGAGTTTTGGCAGCTCTTGCAATGAGTCAGAGGGTTTGAGCAACACTCAATGTTACTCATCAGAGCCCTGATTTCTTTTTAAGTCTACGTATTGTTTGACAATTCAGGTCAACACAGACAAACTGCTTCAGATATGAACAACTGTAATTTAACAGGTCAGTGCATTGCACCGGTCTGTTTAACCATGTTCTGAAGCTAACACAAAGGTGCTCATTTGGTGACTCAGACATGTGTTGTCATTAGGCCCTGTGTTTTGTGTATAGCAGGCAAAAAAGCTGGAAAAGTGATATTGATTTTCTTTCATTGGACATAAAAAATTGTTCAGCTGTCATCAATAAATCAACGTTTGGTAGGTACATTTTTTTTTTCTTCCATTAAAGACACATAGACTTCAGATTTGTGTAACATACATCTAAAATAAAACTGCAGCTCATGTGCCACACTAAGCATGCAGCATAAAAAGGTTCAGCTTTTACAGTTTTTAGAATTGACTGACGCTGAAAGGTGAAAACTTTTTAAATTGCACACACTGTTCAGTTGATATTGAAAAGGGGCAGCTGACTTCTCCATATGCATGTCAAGAAAGCAAAGTTGTCCAGAATAATGAAAAGGTTACTTTCTTCAGTGGGAATAAAGCCTTCGATATCTGGCACCTCAATGTGGCCACTATTGTTCATCTGATTCCTATATTTCATCTTTAGTACACACCTAGCTCAAAATACACAACATATGGAAAGATCTGGCCCATTTAAAATAAATTATTGTTATACAGGCTTTTTCCTGGCTCAAGATGAGCCAGTGGTACCTTTCCTACTTTGTACATGTGCATATGTACAACGCATGTGTATTGCAATTGAAGAAATGACAAATATCCCATTAAAACCTCATTTATTAAACAAATGAATGTGCCAAGTTCAACATTAAAACCTATACAACATAAAACTAATGTGTTAATTTCCATAGTTAAAGCAAAGATTATAAATTTAAAAAAACCTAAAGGGGGTCTGGGGGTCTCCCCCTGAACATTTTATGCATCAAACACTGTCATTCTTGTATTTCTGTGCACCTATTTGTCAAAAACTGTTTATTTTTCCTTATTTGTATTTCATGTTAATATTACATTTCTTGTACTTTCTGCATAGATGTCAATGTAAAAGTGTTTACATGGAGTCTGATGATGAACATGAAAGACACAGAGAGAAATTTACTTCTTCACCTGAACTGTATTCTCACCGTTTCCCTCCATTTTTACTGCAGTTGAGGGTGTTTTTTGGTAGTTTCTCCAGTATAGACATCTGCCTGTTAATACACCATCCATGACTTTATGATCCTGACTGTGTAATAATTAACTCTTTATGCCTCAGTCAGTGTGGATGTGATTTGTGGAAATAACGAGTTTTAACTTCATTTTTTTTTAATTGTCAAAGTTTTTTTCCCCGATTGCTCGACTTCAATCTGTGGGCACGTCAAAGCTTTTTAATCACACTCCAAAATCCAAGATGTGACTGTGTTGGATATTAAATACACAATATTTATACGTGTTATACTCGGATGGTGCTGGAGGAAAAGAGAGAGAGAAAGAGATGTTGAGCATTTATGGACAGAAGAGCAGATATTTGTTGAACTGAGGGAAGAGTGCGTTGATGTTGGATTCGAGGTAAACCGGTGAAATGTGGCAGAGGAACGCATCGACATTCAGTACAGTCAATTTGACAGGAAGTGACATCAGGACAACAAAAAGACGGACGCGGTCAAATGACAGATCTGGCTGACATGTAGAAGAGAAAAGTGAAGTGACAGGTATCATGACAGATCTGTTTTGCATGTACTAATAGATTACATTTTAATCTACACTGACAGATGTTTGCTTCTGTAATCCTTCAGCAATCCAAGTGTTAAAAAAAGTTTAATAGACAGACAAATGTTTCTCTTCACATTAAAAAGTCAAAATAGACAGTACACATAACATCATTTGGCAACATCTGCTTTTGACCCTTAATGTGCTTGTCATCCAAAATACCCAGATGTGAGTGAATGCTTTTGAAATTCCTTTTGGGTTTTTTCAGCCCTTTGAAAAAAACCAAGCTTTGATGCTGGGGGGGGGAGGGGCAAAAAAAGATGAAATATAAGTTTAATTCATTCTCTTTGTTGCACACATTGTATTTCTCTTTAAAAGGTAAGCGAAGGAGAGTTCCATTCATCTCTAATTCATAGCCGTAACTGATTGTCTCACAAACAATATCGTCTGAAGTGCAAAGAAATTCTTATTTTATAAATGCTTCTCACAAAAGCATCCAGCAGAAAGATTTTATTTCTTCATTCGTCATCACATTTATATCAAAAAGTCATCCTTGTAATTTTGTCAGTCGCTGTTTTAAAACAATAAATTTGTCATGTATAGATTTTTAATAATATTCATATAGCCTAGTAATACACACAAAAAGGATACTATACAGAAACCACAGATGCATTAGTCTTCATTGGGTGCTTCTGTTGATGTATCTAAATTACCTTCAGTTTCACTTTGTCATAATGACCCGATAAGGGAAGGAAAAATTCAAGTCATGTCCTATTTATTTTAAACACATTTGAATCACAGTTGTAATTGACAGTGGCACATTTATTATGGATTGCATGTGCTGTGCTTTTTCTTCTTTCTGGAGACCCAAACCCAGAAATGTAGGGAATGTATGTGTGACAGGGGAGGGAAAGAATGTGGTCATTAAGCAAAGGCAGAGAGAGGGAGACTCTTTCTCCTGCATTCAAATGATGCTTAATCCAGCACTATCAACACTCCTCCTCATCTCTCCTCCTCATCTCTCCTCCTCATCTCTCTACCTTTTCTGTGCCATTTCACAGAGGAGGCTACTATGCAGGATGTTCCCCTCATCCGTCTCCCTATATACCTATTTATCTAATTCCTCTCTTTCCCTTCCATAGGCTCCTTTTCCCTCCTATTTCACCAAGGACGTGGATATATCTCCTCCTGCCCCTGTCCCATCTCTCTGCCACTCTTTTCCCGTAAGTCTCTCTTTTTTCCTCCTCTATCTCTCTCCGTCTTTCTCTCTCTCATCTTGCTAAGAGATAACTGTGCAGCAAGCTCTTTCATCTTTTCTCCTCCCCGAAGAAGAAAACTGCCCAGCAGATACAGCAGAAGCAGAGTCAGCATTTCAGCCCTCTATGATGTCACGGACCCCCGGACCCAACTCCCCCCCCCCACACCTCCAACAAAACACTCACACACGCATAATAAATGCTCTTACACTAACGCTAATAAGAAAGTCTTCCTTTTTTTTTGAAAACAACATTTTTTCTTGTTGATCTTGTGCGTTTATGAGAAACATGTTCCACTGCTGTTCTCACAAGACAGAGAGACAGCAAAAAAAAAAAACCCAAACAGACTCTCGAGTTGGAAGTGGAAAGTCTGACCTCCTGTCTCTGTGTGATACATTAGAATGCTTTGAATTTGAATGTAGGTTTGAGGGAGGCGGCGTAAAAAGGTAAGTGGAGGGGAGAGCTGGGACGATTGGCACAGGTAAGTGATTGAGAGAGGAAGAAGGCAACACGTGAGATACCACAGACCTAAAAAGGGGGAAGAGAAAGAGAGGAGAAGATGGTTACAATGAGGGGGGGGGGGGGGGGGGAAGAGGAGGCACACTGGGAGGATGGGGAGGTTGAATGTGTTAATACACAGGAACACTGCATCAAACCAATGCACTGCTCTGAGGCTGGCTGAGCAGCTGAGAGGAGTGCGTCAGCAGTACATTCACGTTCCCATTGAAGGACAAAGGGAGGAGGGGGGGGCAGAGCGAGCATCTTAGCTGCCTGCCTGCAACACCGACACGGAGGAGGAGGAGGGGGGGGGATAGAGAAAAAGAGAGAGATTGGAGAATAAACAAGAGGAGGAGATGTGGCTTTAGAATGCTGCTGCTCCTGCTGCTTCTGTGAAGGTGGGCTGCCTGTTTGAGTGCTCGCGTGCCTCCTCCTCCTCCTCCTCTCCATCTCTCTCTCTCTCTCTCTCTCTCTCTCTCACACACACACACACACTCTCCCCTTTCTCGCACTCTATCTTCCTCCTGCTCTTGATCTGTCAGTGGTTTCTCTCTCTCTCTCTCTCTTTCTGTCTCTCTTTTCCTCTCTCTCTCTCTCTCTCTCTCTCTCTCTCTCTCTCTCTCTTCAACTCCGGCTACTGCAGTAGTCCACCAGCCAGCCGCAAGTCTGACAGCCACACACATGGCTAACTGCCACAACTTACTACCTCAGCCCGGGAGAGAGGAAAAAAGCTAAAACATAAGCGAGCGGAAGAACAATTGCGGGAGACAGCCTGGGCACAAACAGCAAGTGGAAAGAAGAATCCTCAATACCTTTTTTTTTTTTTCTTTCTGTTTTTGGATACAGATACGGAGCCCACTTCCACGCTCATCCTCCTCTAAAGCGTCATCCTCTGTTTTTCTCTCATCGCAGAAGAAGACAAGAGTGCTCTCTCTCTCTCTCTCTCTCTCTACCGACAGCCTTTTTTTGCAAAGCTCCAACAGCGCAGAGCATCCCCCCCTCCCCCCCCCCATCCCCCCATCCAGCGCCACCATCTCTCCCACCACCCCCGACACCCCCCCCCCCCCCCAGGAGCAATAGACGGATTACTGCTAACTGTGCACACGGCAGCCTGCAGCTGCTCTGACCAGGGCCAGCTCAACGTTGTGTGAGGAAACAAGAAGAACACAGAGGAGGAGGAGAGGAGAGGAGAGGAGAGGGGGATGACTGTGCCGGGAGTTCTTTAGCCTTTTTTTTTTTTTTTTTTTTCTGTCTCTCAGTCTCTGTCACAACGAGGCTAATCAGCGACCGACTAGCCCTTGGCAAAGTCACAGTGAGGGAGGTCTCTCCAGAAAAACGGGTGACCAGCCGACGAGCAAACACATGTGTCAGGAGTCGACAGGACTGAGGATTTTTAAAAAAAATTCTTCTTCATTTTTCCCCCCACTTCTTCTGTCCTCCCTCTGCTGTCTTTGACTGCGCTATGGATCATTGTGATTTATCCACAGTGGAGCTGCGTTTTGGAGTCTGCAGCCTGGCAGGGGGGCAGTTAGAGGGGGCAGAAAGGATCCAGGCACCTACTAAGTCTTCATGGCCTTACCTTTGCCTGTGAGTGTTATTCATGCTGATTCCAGTCTTTAATCGTAGGAGCCATTTTGTACCCTGGGCTAATAGAGGGGGCCACCTTACTTTTTCAGTGAGGTAAAAAACAAGACAAAATTAGTCTTCTGTCTCTCCATGGAGCGGATTTATAAATTAACGTGATGCATGACTGTTGCTTTTAACGTTTGGAAAGAGGCGAAAACAGACCACTTCCAAACTAATGAGGTACGTCACTTATATAGTTATTCATCTTTTTTTTTTTTTTTTTTTTTACATTGCTGCACTGCTTTTCGTTTGCTGCTATTGTTGTATTAATCTCTCACTCTATCTCCACCTCTGTCCCTCTGCTTTTCTTTTTTCCCCCCCTTTCTCTTTCCCCGATGTCTATTTGTGATGTAGCATCTCCCTGCACTGTCGATGGAACTTCGGAGCTGCGAGTCGCTCCAGCCGGGCTAAGGTGGTCTGTCCTCTGGTGTGTGCCGTCTCCCCCCACCATGCAGAATAATGAGCCCTCCACACCATGAGTCCTTTGGGCCAGGTTAGTGTGCAGCCTACCTGGAACGCAGCTCTGCTCGCCGTGATCTCCCTCATGGTGCCCACTCTCAGTATGTGCCAGTCCACAGGCCTCGCGTTGGGCTCGGCTAACCCACAGAACTGCCCGGGCGTGTGCTCGTGCACTAACCAGCTCAGCAAGGTGGTGTGCACCCGCCGGAGCCTGATCCGGGTTCCTCCAAACATCCCAGCCAACACCAGGTACCTAAACCTGATGGAAAACAGCATAGAGACCATACAGGCGGATACATTCAGGCACCTGCATCACCTGGAGGTTCTGCAGTTAGGCAGAAATGCCATCAGACAGATTGAGGTGGGGGCCTTCAACGGCTTGACCAGTCTTAACACCCTGGAACTGTTCGACAACCGACTGACGGTCATACCCAGTGGAGCTTTTGAGTACCTGTCAAAGTTGAGAGAATTATGGCTTAGAAACAATCCCATTGAGAGCATCCCCTCCTACGCCTTCAACCGCGTCCCCTCCCTCATGAGACTGGACCTTGGAGAGCTGAGGAAGTTAGAGTACATTTCCGACGGGGCGTTCGAGGGCCTTCACAACCTCAAGTACCTCAACTTGGGGATGTGCAACCTTCGGGAGTTTCCTAATCTCTCACCGCTGGTGGGATTGGAGGAGCTAGAAATATCTGAGAATGTTTTCCCCGAACTGAAGCCCGGGGCCTTTCGCGGGCTCAAGAATTTACGCAAACTGTGGATTATGAACTCTGCGATCACTACTATCGAAAGGAATGCATTCGATGACATCACGGCCTTGGTGGAGCTGAATTTGGCCCATAACAACCTGTCGTCTCTTCCTCACAACCTCTTCACGCCTCTGCAGTACCTGGTGGAGTTACACCTGCACCACAACCCCTGGCGGTGCGATTGTGACGTCGTGTGGCTCTCCTGGTGGCTCAGAGAATACATTCCCACAAACTCCACCTGCTGCGGACGCTGCCACACCCCGGTCCACATGAGAGGTCGATACCTGGTGGAGGTCGATCAGACCACCTTTCAGTGTTCGGCGCCGTTTATACTCGACGCTCCGAGAGATCTTAACATCTCGGCGGCGAGGGTCGCAGAACTGAAGTGTCGCACTGCTGCCATGAGTTCGGTCAGATGGCTTCTCCCCAACGGCACCGTATTGACCCATGGCTCGGCTCATCCGAGGATATCGGTCCTTAATGACGGAACTCTCAATTTCTCCAACGTTCTGCCGTCAGACACTGGTGTCTACACGTGCATGGTGAGCAACATGGCAGGGAATTCCAACGCCTCGGCCTACCTAAACGTCAGCAATGCTGAACTCAACACGTCTAATTTGTCTTATTTTACAACTGTAACGGTGGAGGTTTTGGAGCCCACCGTGGAAGAGACCCCCAAACCCAAGCCTACTATCCCCGCTTCGCCCTCTGTGTTTCAGCCTGTCTTCATCTCCACACCTACTGTGCTCTTCCAGAGCACTCAGACTCCAAGGCAGGTGTCGATCCCTACTGCCAGAATCCCTAGCGGGCCAGCCGCCAGCCTGGATGAGGTGATGAAAACCACCAAAATCATCATTGGCTGTTTTGTTGCTGTCACCTTGCTTGCAGCTGCCATGTTAATTGCGTTCTATAAGTTGCGTAAGCGGCATCAACAGAGGAGCACGGTGGCAGCAGCCAGGACCATAGAAATCATTCAAATGGAGGAGGAAGTTCCTCCTGTTCCACCGCCCACCTCGGGATCTAGCGGTTCGGACGACACGGTGTTGGTACTGCCGACATTAGTTGAACACAACAGCAACACCTTTAAGCCTGGGTACGTGTCCACCTCCTCAGGCCGCCAAGGGAGCTATGGAGCCCACTGGACCCAGAACAACTCCCTCCATCGCTCAGTCAGACAGCATCACAGCCACATCAGCACCATAACGGATCCCTACGCCATTAAGACTACCCCATGGCAAAGAGAAGGTTCAAGAGACCCAAATCTAAGTAATGCTCCCCGACATGGATCTATCTCTGACTATGCCCCAACCCTCTTCACTCCACTGCTCACCACTCCATGCAATAGAATGCACAAAGAACAAAAACGGTAACTTTCTTTTGTACAGATGTGCAAAACATGGACAGTTTTTTCCTTTCTTGTACATGCCTATATATAAGTATATAAATATGAAAAGATACAAATATATATAAATGAAACTCCCGTCAAGGCAGTGGTGAGACATACAGATTATATTAGAAAAGAAAGTAAATTGAAACTATTTTCTAATAACTGGTGACTTCTAACTAAAAAAAAAGAAAAAGATAGTGAATTGCTTTTGTGATTGATCTGCTCTTGGAAAAGAGGTTCTTAGTTTTTTTTTTGTTTTGTTTTTTTTTAGTTTTTTTTTTTAGAATATTTAGGATGCAGTAAACAACTCTTTATATGAACCAGTTTCTAAATACAGCCCCACATGTAAGCTCCAGTTTTTACTGTGCCAAATATTATATGCAATAAAATTGTATTTCCAGACTTAGGAACAGAAAAAAAGACACACAAGCAAAATCTAGACGGATAGAAACATTTGTCCAAGGATAGCAGTAATGGCACAGATATAATGTGCTGTTCAGTAGCTATCAGCCAAATGCTTTTGGACTGCAGTGAATTTCTGCAGCTAAGGTTTTAACCCCCTGGTTGCCGGAGCTAAGCTGCGTTTGACAGTGCCAGTGCTTCTTAGTTGTAGCGTATCTAAAAATGTTTAGTTAGTGTGCACATTCCCCCACTGGTTTAACTGGCAAAGACGAAGTGCAGGCTAATAACAGTTGTCGCAAATACTTTGTTCTGTTATTGGTTGCATTTTCTATTCCTTTTTTTCCTTTAGGTCTTACATGCTTCTTAACGGCTTGTGTAGTGTTTAGGGCTAATTTATTAATGCATAACAGCAGTTGCCTGACTTGTCTCTGCAAGGGCTCATTCCGATGCTAATTTTTTTCAATGGAACAGACATGCGGTGCAGTGATACAGGTCTTTGCTGACCATTCGGCTTTTGGAGGAAAAAAAAAAAAACAGACAATTGAAGTGAAACAAAATGAATGTCTGATACTGGGGCTTTTCCATGGACTACATTGAAACATGACTTTGTTTTTTCTTTTAACAGTTTATTTTGAGCAACACTATTTTTATGGAGAGACTAAGGAGGCTATGAAAAATAAAAACCTTTGGTTTGTATTTCTCTAATCAGAAACACTTTCATCTGATGCTTTTTCTTCTCTCTGAATATATTTCCATTTGTGTGTAAGCTGTTTAATCGTAAAATCTGGACACAGCATTGTAAATCGTATCCTTCCCAAACCCCCCCTCCTCTTATGGTCCTATGCATTTACTTAGTGTCTGCATGAATGGGTCTTTAAGTAACTGGTGTACAATGCTGCATTATACCCCACAGTGGGGCTCTATGCAGGTCAGATAGGCTGTTGGTCTTTGATGCCTCAGCTTAGTTCTTAACATTGATTATTCAGTGACTGTGAAGGGGAAAATACATGTATCCCACAGTTCAACATTTTGTGGGTTTCTTTTCCTTACTACTCATCTGCAGGTTCTATTTTACTGTCCGAGTTAGTTTTCCATCAAGTGAAAAAAAAAAAATCCATATTAAATAACTAATAGGAAGAAAGGCAGTTGTGCTTGGTTCATCATGATATGAGGTGAAAACAATCTGTCAAAGCAGGTTCTTCAAGAAAGCAATCTAAATATATCACCTAGCTATAAGAAAGCAGACTGGTTTTATTTTTTTTTATAGATGCTGTTTGTGTCAATGCATTGCTTAGCAATATGAATTATCTTGATGTCACACTGCTTAAAGGTCAGCTACCATAAATGAGTCTGCCTAGTCTCTCTGATGACTGAAACGCTTTACCTTTGACCTTATACTGTTGCACTAAATGCTACCATTTCCCAGTCCTGATTTCCTCAAATTTGATCAAACCCCTGCAGGTTTTTGGTCTTTTATAAAGCGCTTCGAAAGTGCACCAGTGGAGGCTATTTGGGGATAAAGGGGAAATTACAGTATGACCTCTGTGCTAATTATGGAGCATGGTGAGTTGACAAGAACACCAAGGCTTCATTTAGAAACCGCCTGGCTTGATTTCCTGTTCCATCAGGAGATGGTTAATAATGTGCTGCGTGAGTTGCTGTTGGGCATAATGTTACTGTATTCCTATTCTTCTTGTGGCATTCACAATCAGAACCCTGCATTACATTAGGAACTCCTCTGGTGCAATTCAACAAAACAGGGACTGTCATTACATAACAGTCTAGAATACAGCTCGAGTGGGTGTCAGTTAAAAAAAATGCTTAAATATAGATATTATTTAAATAGGATGTACTTTTCATTTATTAAAAAAAATCAAATAATATCAGCTATTGCAGTCATAAGAGCAATGCCTCTAATAATCCTATTTTGGAGGTTTCCACGGCTCTGAATTAATGAATGGAGAGGTGCTAATGTTTTCAGCCAGCACACCTGGCAGTGCGAGTACAGGTGGGCCTCAATAAGCAGATGGAACTCCTCTCACTATGTCAAGTGTTTTCTTAATTTTCCTCATAATGTGATTGCAATACACTTCTAAATAGCCAATCTCACCCCCCCCCCCCCCCCCCCCCGGAATATGATATCTGCTCATTTCTTCGACAACGCAGAGTGTTCTTGGTTGTTACAGTATGTGTGGGTTGAAAAAAAAAATAGCAGGCTCTTATTAATTCCTCAGCTCAGTGTGGCTCTGGCCACATTAGGGCTTCATAAGAGGCTGGTGGCTGTTTTGTCAAGCCTTTAATGTGCTTCATAACAGCCACATACAGGAGACCCAACGAGGACTTGCTTTTTTTTTTCTTTCTTCCCCTCCGCCTCATCGTGATTGTTAACAGCAGGGAAAAAAAAGAGAGGGGGCTGTTCCAGCTTTGGCATAATACTATCAACCATTCAGTCAATTGAGGTTTGCTGCACCAAGTATCAAGGGTGAAGAGGCTGAGGACTGGAGTGAAACAGCCATTGTGTTAACGGTTGAAAACAAGAGCCAAGACAATAGTCCTCCCCTGAAAACATCAGCAGGGTTAATATGAATCTATTCTCCTGGGTGGCTATACCGTCTTATCTTCACCAGCTGAGGCAGTCGTATGCTTTGAATTTGGCTGTGTACTGTATCTTGCCTTGTTGCAAATGAGCTGTGAAGATGTCTTGTCATAAATGCTGCCATCTCTCTTTCTCTATCCTCTCGCCTTTATCATTTGCTAATTGACTTAAAATCATTGAGTGAAACTTGTGAGTATAGGGATAGGTTGTGTTTTAAGTCAGCCTCTTTTTCTCCCCTTCTTCTTCTCCTGTTATCTGTTTGGCACAACAACTGTCACAAATTTGCATATAGTCTTTTGGAGCAGGCTTACTCACTGCCCACCTTTCTTTTGTCCCATCATGTTGATTTTCGTCCGATGGTTTAATAAAACTCTAGCCAAAGACTGATGCATCTTTTAAGTTGGCAGTGTGTCAGAGACTTCTGCGTTCCACGTTGGCAGAAGATGGAAAAAGGTTAAAGAATGGCTAAACCGCAGCTGTGCACTGTGTTCGTCTCACTCCTGCTAGATATGATCTTCAGGGAGACTGCAGGAAAAAGGGTTGGGATAAGGCTCTGTGGAGGGCGGCGTTTCAGGTCAAGGGGTTTGTTGAGAAGAAGTCCTTGAAGCCTTAAGATCCATATCTGCTAATGAAGTCTCCACCAGTAAGAGGTGTTGGTAAGGTGGCCGGCCACAGCAATCCTCCCAGTTTCTCTGCTGACTGATGGCTTTTTGTGCCCACAAAGGGATCGCAATAAATGATCCATGGTCCTTTAAGAGGGGAGAAATGACTTAGAATCACTTCTTATCCCTCTATAAACACTGACTGCACTCCTTTACAGTAACACTATATTGTGACTTAACCTCAGCATAGGCTCACACTCCAAAAATGTCTACTCATTTAGATCTATATGCATCTACTGAGCAACAATTTTATAAATACAATTTTAAATAAATAGGAGGACTCATTCTGTAAGGCTGTAAAGTTACATTGTGACTCAATGAAATGCAGCTTTTCAGAACAGAAACATTCAACAGAATAAACCGAGATATATCAAACGACGAAGTAAAGCTGCATTGATGAACTTTCGGTTTGTGTTGATTTTTAGCGACTTCTGTGGACAAAGTGCTATCTTTTATCTCTTTGCTGATTTTATCCTGAATGCGCTTACATTGTGTTTTCTGACAGAAAAAAAATCATCCTTCTGTCATTCTATAGTCAAACGTATCACTCACTCTTAACCTTTTCTATGGAAAATTTTAAAAAAATGCGGTTTCAATAGGGCGATGTCATTCTCCTCACCTGGCACCTGTCGTTGTACAAACATTAAAGATAATTCTAAAGAGATAATCAATCCGGTTGCTGATGGTCTCTTTTGCTAAGAGTCATCACTATTAATGTCAGTATTTTTCATAACCAGAAAAAAAAAATCTTCACAGCCAACCCTGTGGCTCCTTTCCATAATGTTGTTCCCTATAATTTAATTTCTGAATCTATCCGCGCTCCTATCTCTTAAAATAAAAGCATAAATATCCCTAAAACAAATCTTTTAAAAAAAGCACATTTGAAAAACATTATTAAGCTTTAATTTAAGCCTAAACAAAAAATGTGTGCAGTGCATGTGCACTTTTGGATTCATACTGGTCCTTGGTTTTGGGTCAAGGCAAATCGGGACAACAAAGACAGAAGAGTAATAATAGAGAAGATGCATCTGCTAGAAGCACATCTGCATCAACACAACACAAACAAGGACAATATCTACAAATAGTCTTGTGGAAAATTACCCGTCCCAAACTAGTTAGAATTAACAGTCGACAGTATTTCAAAGCCTTTTCTTTGCAATAAGCAATTTTCCCAAACAGTTTCACAGTATAATTAACAGAGAAAATATTGTAGGCACATTAAGCTGAAGAAAAAAAAGAGTGAATTTCCATCTAATTATGCTGCAAAAAGTTTTCCTAAATAACTTCAGAAAATAGAAAGATGGAGAAAAAGGC